TGTTGGGTACAGGTTAACCCTAGGGACACATTCATAGGTTCACGGATCAAGAACAAAACCCACCACCATAGGTACAGAGTTACATGCAATTCCAAAACCAGGCTGACTGGTGCAGTAGAGCAGATGAGGAAAGCAGAGGATGCGGGTCAAGGCCTGGAATTCCGTGGGAAGAACTTATGGAGTTCAGCAAACAAGTTGCCATTAGCTCCGATGCCCAGTTTTAATTAATGTGGAGGCTGTGACCAGGAGAAGGGAGAGACGCTTTGAGGCAGGCCACCAGGCGTTTGAAGCAAAGATCTATTGCTTACTAGCTATGGAATTTGCTGCAAATTACTAAAATTATATTAGCCTGAGTGTGCGCACCTGTAAATAAGCATGAAAACTATTCCCTGCTGTGTGCCCACTTTGTGCCAGCGCTCATCTAGCTTCTTTGTATGTATTAATGCACTTAATTCCCTGCCTATGAGAAAGGCCCTGACTATCTCCACCGTATGGAGCAGCAGTGAGCTTCAGTAATTTAAGTATATAACCCTGGTACCTGGCAGACGTGCGAGGCAGTAAGCAAGCAGTGGATATTAGTAAGTTAAAAAACATGTAGAACGATACCGAGTAACAAGCAGGACCCTCGTATAAACAGTCCACGAGCTCAGGAGCAATGCTCGCTGCAACACAGCTGCCTTGACTGGGATACGTAAACATGCATGGCACCCCAAATCCTGAGCCACCATTGTCTGGAAGAACAGAAGAAATGCCAGAAGGACATATGTGGTGATGGTTACTAATTGTACAACACACGACACAGGACAGACACATTATGGAAAAGTAGTAGTTGCAATTGGGTAGGAAACCAAGTGAGTGTTAAGACATCACCTTTAGGAGCATTTGGAAATAAGAGCCGCCTTTGGCAGGAGTTGGGGAAATCTACAGGAGAAATGGGAAGATGTGAAAAACAAATTGTAGAGGCATGGACAGAGAGAAACAGGGTTTATCTCAACCAAACACTGCAAGCACAGAGCAGAGCTGGAAACAAGAATAGTGGGCTTGAAACACTATGGGGAGTCTTGTCTGATGAAAGCAGCAGCCTAGGGGGACACAAAAACATCCCCCTGTTGGCTTTGTAGTATCTTTTTATTCAGCTCCACAGAGAGACTTCTTGTAAAGCTGCTACAGTGTAAACTGGTCCTGCTTTGGCTCAAAGGGCAGTGAATTTGAGGGGAAACAGCAAAAGCAGAACAAAAGAATCTCAGACTCCTCGATAGATGACAATCTTGGCCAATTATTTTGTGCATGACTTCCTATAGCCACTATTTACTGAAATTTGGAAATGTTTCATGCTATTTGCAGAAGGAAATGTTTTATTTAAACTTTAAGTCCTTTAATATACCCCAGAGAAATCTATTTTGGAAAATGGACATAGAAAACTGAAGAAAGAACAAAAACTTCAGGACAAATAATGGGAAATAATTTGTTAGGAAAATTTTTAAAACTCTTTTTTAGAAGTAAATTAATTAACCTATTGCAGTGTTCAACTTTATCAATTGAAACTTAATAGAAATTGTTTAAAAATTATTATGATTAGTCATATCAATTTTATGTACACACTAGGGGCCACAAAAAGAGCCTCAATAAATTAAAAAAGATTGAAATTATATCAAGGCTACTTCAACCACAGTGGTATGAAACTAGAAATAAATGACTTAAAGAAAACAAAACCTACACGCACATGGAGGCTAAACAAATGCTTCTAAATAAATCAATGGATCAGCGAACAAATTAAAACAGAAATCAAGCAATCCTTGGAGACAAATGAAAACAAAAATTCAACAGCCCAAAATCTGTGGGATGCTGCAAAGGCAGTTCTAAGAGGCAGGTACATAACAATACAGGCTTACCTCAAGACACAAGAACAATCCCAGATGAACAGTATGAACTCACAATTAAAGAAACTAGACAAAGAAGAACACTTGAATCCCAAAGCTAGTAGAAGGAGGGACATAATAAAGATCAGAGAAGAAATAAATAAAATAGAGAAGAATAAAACAGTAGGAAGAAAATCAATGAAACCAGGGGCTGGTTCTTCAAGAAAATTATTATAAATTATTAAATAATTATTATGATTAGCTATATCAATTATATTAATGGTTATTAGTAGAAATAGAAAGATAATGAGCATCAAGTTATATACATCTACCCAGGGCGCTGGTTTCCTGAGGTCTGAGTTGGAAGCCCCCCTCCTGGAGTGAAGTGTGAGATCAGGTGGAACAATAGGTTGAGGGTAAATTCTGGGAGTCCTTGGGTAATAATCTCAGGCACTCAGGCTTTAACTCAGACTCAGGAAAAGACTCCTGAAGGTATCAGAACAGGAGGAAAGGGAGGCCAAGTGTTGCCAGCCTAAGGGGATCGAACGGAAAGGGCACACGGAGAGCAGGGACACACTGCTGGGTAATGGGGCCTGAGCCAGGGGCAGGTCGGCCGAAAGGTGACTGAATGGTATTGAAAGCAACCTGGGGCATTTTGGAGAAAAATTAAACAGTGCTCCGTGTCAACCATTTAAGAGAGAAATTAGAGTCAGTCAATAAGCATGAAAGAGCAGGTGAACAGGGGCACCATCACTTTCACAGGGTGAAAGAACCAGACATGGATGACGTTAGTGTGTAGCTATGGAAAGGCTATGTGAGGGGGTCCTCCTTCAGCCTGTGTTCACAAAGGGACAGTTCATACAAAATAAGACGGGCAACAATAGCTACCTTCTTGGCATGCAGTGAAGAAATACCCATTGAACATACAATGTTTTTCACCCCCTTAGGTCATTCACATACCCTAACACCAATTTCTGTTACATCTTAAATATAAAAAGCAATAAAAACATGGAATTTCAAAGGTAGCCCAAGCAAAATATTTTTCTTCTTCACATTCACATATTTCTTCTGAATTAAAATAAAATATCCCATATACAACCAATCATTTTTCTTTGCTGAGCAAGATTTATTATTTACCTGCTAAAAATGTCATGTTTAGCACAAGGATATGTAGAAAGATAAAACATGACATTTTTCAGATTTTCACTGGTTTTTGAATAAGACATTTCTCAAGTTGTAGAACTGAATAAACACAGACATGCAAAATACAGTCACATTAAAAAAAAAATTGGCGAGCACATTTGGCCATAATAAAAATAAACCAGTAACTTTGGAAAAACACTGCATTCTGTGAGATGTGTACATGTTTCTTCTGCAGAATCTACATGTTGGTTCCAAATGATGTTTATCTATGGAAGTAATTTGAATTCAATGAATATTTAAACTCAGTGTGTCAGGAGGATAAACAATAACCATAGGCATTAAGTCAGAAAAGAATTGGGCTATTAAAATAGGCAAGCATTCTTATTGAAAACCATTTGATCAAACATTAACTCTAGGTACAGGGTAGTCTTACTGATTGGATTAACAATGGCTACAGTTAGAAGTGATGAAATTTTCCATTGTTTAGATTGCTATTACTCTCAATACCTTACAATTTTTGAGTCCAGCTCTTTATTATGTGTAAATAAGATTCATTTCTTTCCAGCTATATAATAGCCCTTCAAAAGGTAAGAACTTAAAACAGTAGAAGAGTGAAAAAAAGTAACAAAAGGACCAATACGGAAATCAGTAGGGACCGAAAAGGAAAGGGATAGATGAATAAAATCATTTAACTAGCATTCGTTATTATTCAAACGGCATTCTACCAGAGACAGACAAGACAGGGGTACACAAGGGCCAAACTCCAGGAACTTTAGAGCTATGCAGTGAGACTGTAAGGTCTCTGTCTGTGATTTAAATAATGTAAATAAAAGTTTGAAGGTAAACAATACTGCAGGTACATGATAGTGTATGCTAAAATGCTGGGGAAATCAGGTGTCATCAAAACAAGTCTCTCCAGAGAAAATGTGTATATGATTACGTTCTCAGGGAGGTATAAGGTTTGCCGCAGAAACCCCAGAGAGGAGAACAGCTTAAGATAACTGTAGGGCAAATCGGCAGGCTGTTAAGGGCCCAGGAATAATGTTACAGAACCCGAAGAGGCACCGCCTCAGGGCTCTTAAGGCTGAGGCACCAGAGCCTGATTCAAGAGGTATTATGGTGCCACTGCAGGTTTTAAAAAACAGGCAAGTAGCTTAAAAAATACAGATATGCCTCCACTATGTCAAAATAGTTCAAACTATTTGTATGCACGTGGCAGGTCTGGCCTTCCTTCTGGAGGCAACATGATTGACATGTGATAGTTTCTATGTTTCTGTGATGAAAAGCTAGATTAAAAAAAAACCTATCTGATAACCTAACAACTGTCACTTTTTAATCAACTGACATATATAGCATTTATAGTTGATTATGCTGGAAACTGTTAAAATGATGGTTTCCAAAAATTTATTCCTGAATGATGAACTAAATAAATGCATATTGTGCTATGGGGTGAATTGTGTCCCCCTAAAATTCAGTGTTATGGTGTATGGAGTTGGGGGTCTTTGGAAGGTAAAAGGTCTGGATGAAGTTGTGAAGGTGGCCCTCATGATGGGACTAGTGCCCTTATAGGAAGACACTGGAGAGATTCCTCTCTCTTCCTCCACCATGTGAGGACAGGGAGAGGGTGGCCACCTGTTAGACAGGGACAGAGCCCTCTCCAGGGAACTGAATTGGCCAGGACCTTGATCTTGGACTTCCCAGCCTCCCGAGCTGTGAGAATAAATTCCTGATGTCTAAGTCACCCACTCTATGGTATTTTGTTACCACAGCCCAAGCTAATCTACAGTATCACTGTAAACATTCTCGGACAAGTCACTGGGCCTCTCTCTCCACTGAATTTTTCCTTAAATTTTTCCCTAAATTTTTTCCTTACATGGGAGGCAGGCAAGGGAAGCATGAACTCATGTTTACTGAACATTTAGTTAGCATCTATTTGATGCTGTACGTATATTATCTAATTTAATCATGGTAAGAATATGTGACACGCTCTCTGGGAAGTATTTCAAGACACTTTTATTCAAAAAAAGTGATAGAAAATGTACACATTTTATAATCCACAATTAGGAGTCTTCTAAATAGTATACATATATAACTAATTTATGTCTGTTAACCACAGTGGACAATGAAAATAAAACACTCCTTGATAACTTTTCTTAAGGATAATCAATAATTTATTTCTCGTTTATTGTCACAATTACCACAATTGTCTAGCTACATGACCAATGTCACTACAGATCACAGGAAGATTGTCCACCTACACTTTACGGAGACAGAAACGACGGCCATTGGTGTGTTAAACGCACAACAGGATGTCTAAAAGAGGTGGTTTTTATGTGTAGACAACAGGTGGCACACGATTCATTAACAGGTTTGATTTAATAGTTTTTATGCCAAGAAGTGAGCATAGAAATGTTTCAGCATTGAGTTATTAAAGTAGAAAATAAGTAAACTAGAGAAATAAATCCAGATCTTAACTTACAATAGATACATGAAAATAGGAACTTAAGTGGCTCCTCAGTATTTTCGTTGATTTTTTTTCTTTCCTTTTGTTTTTTATATATATAAATGAGCAATATGAATATATAACAAGTCAAAGAAAGATCTCAGCCAAAAAGAAGGTACCAGAATATGAAAAACAAATGGAAAATTACGGGATATTCTTGCTTACAAAAAAAATGTAACCTATAAAGAGTCACAAAATATATATAAAAACGCCACATTGAACGAGGCAATCGTTCTCTACCCAAAGTGGTAGCACCCCTTAGAGCCGGCTGCGCCCCTTTCCTCGGGTCATACGGTGGTGACTGACAAAAAGGCGTTAGGAACGTGAGTGCCGTCTGGGGACTTGGCCCCGTGGGTCATCAGTTCTTGGATCGTCATCCAGTTGTCCAAGATTTTCCTGTTCCTCTTCTTCATCATCTTCCTGTGGCTCAGCTCGATGACGCTGACCTCCTTCTTGCCCTCGCCACTGCCCGGCGGGCCCTCCTTGGGGCCCTCCAGCCGGCTGCGCATCATGCACTCGCGGCGCCGGCGCTGCTCCTTGGCCCGCACCAGGTGCTGCTTTCTCTCCTCTTTGCTCCAGTAGCGCCCCATCTTCATCTCGCTCATGGTGTCGTCGTCGGTGGTCATGCCGCTGCGCTCCTCCTTGATCTTTAAGGCCCGCTCCTTCAGGAGCCGGTCTCGCACGGGCCTCTTGGTGATGTAGCGGCTGCCGTCGCTCCTCATCTTCACCTTCCATTCCATCCTGGGCTCCGGGCCTTTCTGGGCCTCCCGGCACAGGCTCACCAGGCTGAGCTGACTCTGCGCGTACTCGACGGCGGACCTCTGCTGCACCAGCTGCATGTAGCTCTGGTAGTGCCGCGCGTGGGCCGGGATGTTCGCAGCCCTGCAGGAGGAGCCGTGGTGGGGGGAGAGGTAAGGGATGCGCCCGCTGCCTGTCTTCTCCTGATCCGAAAGCTTGCCGCCCTCCGAACCCCTCTCCTTGCCTTCCACGCTGCTGCCTTGCTCCGCGGCTTTGGCTTTGGCGGCCGTGGACTCGCTGTCCTGTCCAGAAGAGGCCTGGCTGGCCGCAGCCGTGCTCCCCAGGTTCTTCGTATTGGTGAGGCTGATGACCCTCGGGAGGGAGCTGTCAGGGGAGCGGTCGGCCGTGAGCGGCGCGCTTCTGCAGCTCTCCGCCGTGTTGTAAGCGCTAGAACTGTCCTTGTCTGACCTCTCCGGGTGTTCGATAATGTCATCGAGCTTTCCCCTGGGCACGTCCATGCTGGTGTTATAATTCCGGAACCCTCCATCGTGCAATGCCCAGATGTCTCCACAGTCGTCGGGCACTTTCCGGAGCCTCTGAGCCTGCATGATACTCTGGCACTCGAGTTCGATGTTCCTTAACTCTTCGTTGAGCAGCTGGAGCTCGTGCTGCACCCCCTCTTGCTCCCCTTGACTGCAACCCATTGTGCTGCTCGAATAGTACAGGTCATACTCCCCATGGCTTCGGATCTTGCACTTGAGTTCCAGGAGCTGCCGGAATCTCTCACCCTCCTCGTCGCGGCGGCCAGTGCAGTCCGAGTCGAGGCACTCCCCGGACATGAGGCTCTCGTTGCGCCGCAGGTCAGCGCTGCCCAGAGCGCCCTGGCTCTGCCCCAGCACGGTGCCGCCCTTCCGAGATGCGCCCGTGGGGTCCCTGGCCGCGTGCTCCTGCTCCGAGCTCTCGTCGTTGCGCCCCACTCCACTGTCCTTCCCGGGGTGATTGGACGAGGATGTGGCTGTGTCTGTGGTGCCTTCTTCTTCCTCTTGTGTTTTTGGCTGAGAAAGTAAAGGGAACAGAACATAGTGTTGAAAAATTTGCTAGGAAAACAGTGCTCCTTGGCAAAAGTGCAGTTCCTAGAAAACTGCTAACTTCAGTATCCGTAACAATTTTAGAAATTAAGGCAACTAGCTCAAGGCAGCTTTTTATGAACTGAAACAAATAAAAAGCTGCTTGTCTATGGCTAGGATTCTCTTGGGGATAAATAAAACAGGGCACACTTGAATAAGTGATTCTTCTCTTAAGGTTTTTTCCTACTTGGGAAACTGTCTTGAGGGTGAGTAGAGGAGGTAATGTCATCAGTTCCTCAGGTGATAACAGAAAAAAGGGTCATTAAGACAGAATATCAAAGTGGCCTTCAATGATATGGAAGCCTGGAGGTCAGAAGCTTATTTTTTATGAACTTTCCTTAAATTCAGAGGACACTTCACTGATCTAGTAATACACTGCTAATGAATGGTAAGCCAAACATGACAAAATTTCAGGGAAAGGTAAGTACTGGAGCATCGGGACCCCTATCCATAGGTGACGAGTCTTAATTCCAGAAGGCTTTGGTTTGTGAGTGACAGAGAGAGGTCTAGAAGCCCAGCGACACCTGTCAGCACCAGGATTCTGATGTGCCCAGGACCAGGGTGCCACGTTCTTGTCTGTGGGCTCTGACATCAGTGCATCTGCAAACCACATTGCTCAAGAGCAACAAGAGCCTCTTAGGACTCATTTGATTACTTAAAAAGATTTTTCTACTCTTTCTGCGTATGGGCAGAATGTCAAAAAATGTATTTCTGACATATATATGTGTACACACACACACACACACACACACACACACACACACACACACAGAAACGTCACATCCCGGTAATTCTGGGCTTTCATGCAGAGCAGCTAATTGCCACTGTTCTTAGGGAGGCATATGTAGTCCTCTGTGAAAGGGTAAAGTCCTTCCTTTCTGCCTTCTCATCAGAAGGTAGTCTACACGGTGGTTTCTAAGTTGTATTTTTCTTGTGTGTAAGGTTACTATTTTGTATAGATGTACTTTTTTTTCTCTCCTATAGCAGGTGTTTATTATATAATAAAATGTTAAAGGAGGACAGAATGGGTGAAAAAAGGTATTCTAAAACAGGTCTGAAAGGTTATCACTAGATTGTTATTTTCTTCCACAGAAATAATGGCAGAACAAAACATAAACTCGAGAGAAATGATTGTGTATCATGTTACTCTAGGATTCTGTCTTCTCCTAAAATATTTTTCCTCATTTGTTAAAAACATACTAAAATTTTAAATGTCTTATTGATGAAAGGTAATGTTTATGATACACCTTTTCTTTCTTTGGATTGTCCCTTTCTTTTGTCACTGTGAAAATAAAAAGTTTCCCATTCTGAAACCTAGAATTCCTGGTTTCTAATAGAATGCTACTCTATCATTTATCATATCTCTGTAGAATTATTATAGTGGCAGGCGATGTTTCTACCAAGATATTTCTAATGTAGTATTATTGTTTATAGGGGCAAAGGACTTTAAAAGGTTTCTGTACTTCTCATCATTTTTCAGTCTCACGGTGAAGAAAAATTCCCACACAATGAGAATCTAACCTCAGGGACATCTAGTGTTACCTCAAAAGACCTAGCATTCGTATTGTGTCTGGTGAGTAGGCAGCATTTGACACCACATCACTTCGGCTGGACAGGATTTCGCCCTTCTTTCTTTATTCCAACATCCTCCTGTCAATTCTGTATCAGGTCACATTTTGTATCTATGAGCGAGAAGCCTGGAGCAAGGACTTTCTGGCTTGTAACTAGCAGCTGCCACCAAAAAATATCTTAATTTGTGGCCAATGTTGAAGTCATACATAAAAATTTCAATCTGTCCTACCTATACTGAGAAGCGTCACCTCTGAACATGAACTGCTACTCGGGAAGTAGCCATTGAGCAGCTGTGATCAGCACGGAGTACGGCCCACACAGCTGTGTCAACACTGTAGTGTGCATTCTAACAATTCATCTAATGTGTGGACGTGGGCACATACACACATCTCGGTGAGGGGGTGCCAGCATGTCAGCATGTCCGCCGTTCAGCTTGCTGAAGTGGTGGGATGTTTGTGTTTTATGTAGCGAAGCCGAACTGTCCAGGATCTTTTTAAAAACTATCTTTTGGGAAGTGTTAACAATTACTGTTGAGAAGACAATGATAATTAAACAGATCAGAAAAACCCACAGTGAAGTGTTAGTAAAAATTGATCAAGAGGATCAATGACATGAATCCAACATAAAATACCTAGGATATGTTGATCTTTTTATCCAGTAGGAAAACAAACAGCAAAAAATGAAAATAATCCTAAGACTCGGGTCACCACAAACCACACTATGATATTTTATGGGCAGTGAATTAATTTAGGGCAGGAAACTTTGCCCTTTTTTTCCCACAGCCTCAGGACCAAGTGTGGTACTTGGACCATATTAGCTCAGAATTGCTGTTGAGTGATTATGGGACCCTAAGGCAAAATGATGTCAGTGATCCCAAGTCAGAGCTCTTTCTCTTCAGGAGCATACAGACATAATCGTGATCTCCAATAAGGTTGATGACTTACATCAGATCAGAATCATCCCTTGGTTTCCTAAATATTCAAATAAATACAATAGTATTTTAAAGCATAAAATTACTTTTTTGGGGGAGAGTTTACCTCATGGGATATAGTTTGTCTTCAGCTGGTGTATTGAGAAACAACACATTTTTACTATTAAATTTCTGAGTTAAGTCAAAGAATAGCTGGGTCAGCATTTGAAAACTACTCTCCTGAACAGATGGCCCCTAAGCTTCCCAAGCTACAAATATTCTTAATAGAAAATAATTTATTTATTCTTTCTGCTACAAGTGAGATGATCATTTGCTCTGAAAACTTACCATTACAGAGATGCTTGATCAAACTCTCTGATTTTGTTTTTTACTCCATTTATGGCTTTACATTAAAAAATGAACTAGAAACATTTCAAATGACGTGGTTCAAAACCGTGGGTCTTACCTGCTTCACCTCGTCGGCGGGGTGCTTCGTCGCTTCCTCGTGCTGTTCTTCCAACGTCTCCAAGTTTAACTCCTCCAAGAATCCGCTCCTTTCATCCTCCAGCCAGCCTTCATCCAGCTGCAGAAGAAAACATTAGAACATCGTATGACGTCAGCGAGAACTCACGCTAAAACAGGGCAAACTGATACGGCGACGCCTGACCAGTTCCTTTTACCATAATGATTCTTGTCGGAGTACCAGCCTGGGATAGTTCACCTCTCAGGAGGCGGAAAGGTGATACAAAGAAATGAGACCCGTGTGCCTTTTATCCTTCCTGGAAAGAGAGCTACTGGTTTTCTCCCCTAACCAAGTGGATCTTGTCGAATTAGGATATTACCATGTTTCAGAATGTATGAAAAGCACATTGCCTAACCCACGGCGGTCCCGCCCACGACCTCCCACAGTCCCCGAGTCACAGGACTGATGGATGGTACCAACGGGGCCAGGAGACCCCTGGGCTCTTTGCCTTAGTGGCAACCCCCACTGCGGCTGCGCAGAGCCCCCCGCCCCCACACTGACGCCACCCTCCTGCTTTTTATTTTCAGGTGATGGCTTCCAAGTTATAAGATGGCTGCTTGTCACATATATGACAGTATTTATTTTTATCTGGGGGGCAAAAAAGGAAAATTCTAGGTTATTTTTCTTAAAAAAAAGTTATGCTATACTATGTCTATTTTGATTCATTTTGCAGGTCCAGGGGGAAGGAAAATACCTTAAATGTTGCATTTAAAGGCTTGGTGGAGCCGTGCAGACCGTGCGGGGTCTTGTGGTGGGTCCTGAACGCATGGATTCTGTGGGAATCTCACACGAATTAAGGTGAGCAAATCCTTTTGGCTCCTCAATCCCAAGTGAAGTGGAAAACTGGTGGTTACCTTGCTCCCCTGATTAGTGTTGACAGCCAACACAGATCGTTTGCCTCAAAGTGGGTTTTGGGAGCTGGGTTACATATGTTAGCTGTCCATGCTGATTCAATTAGCTGAATTATTGTCAAAACTCAGCTTTATTTGTTACCAAGAAACAGCAGCTTTCCTGGGAGCCATGGTTGATGATGGTTTGGGTGTGTTTCCACCACCAGGCAGATGGGCAAAGTACGCCCATAAAGATAAATGGACTTGTAAAACTTAAAAACAAAACAAACTGAAGGAATGCCACTAGACTGCATCAGAAAAGACAGTGTGTCTGTGTCATATTAATAGGAAGGCAATCATAGGTTTCTTGATATTCATTAAAGGTGATCTAGAACTTATATCACCTCAAATTTGACTGGGACGGAAAGCGTACACACATTATTCATCCTCATTTATCTTAATGTAGCCTGAATAACTTCACCAAGTTCCACCCCACTGACTTTGATATGCAGATGAAAATTATGAAAATTAAGCTGCCTAAAAATTTAAATTCAGTCCAATTTATAATTGTCCAAGTTTTATATTCTTTAATCCTTTTTAAGTTTCATGAAGCTGTAAATGCCAGACTCCAAAAGAAATTACTTAAAGCTAGAAATGTTGACTCCTTCATGCATACCAAGGAATTTTTCTTTAATCAGGTCAAAGCAAAATATTTTATATAGTGAATAACACAACAGAATCTCTTGAAAGTTCAGTGAAGTGGTGGGGGTGGGGGAGAGAAGGAGAAACAGTAGAAATGAGCGACGCCCTGTAACGCAGTGTATGTCTATTTTGATAAGGCTTTCCTCTGGGCTGGAGTATATGCAGCCCTGGAAGGAGCAGAGATTCTTCTTGCTCACTTCCTTTCCCTTTTGCATTTCCCTTTCCACCTAGACGTGCACGCACGGCAGTCTGAGTGTGACGCTGGCAGACAGCCCTTTCCCGTGAGCTGAGCTGCAGGAAAGGACTCTCATTATTCTGCAGGGGTCTGTCTGCATGGGGGTGGGTCACATGTGGCATTTTAGAGAAAGGGACAAACTGCACTGTATCACAGGTGGGGCTGCAGGTTCTTATGAGAGGCCTCTCTGCCCCAGTGTCCCAAGGGGCATCGGACAGAAGAGCAATATCTGTAATGGTCTGAGGAAGAAAATAGGCAGGAAATGAAAGAAAGCTGACAGGGAATGAAAGAAATGAGTTATTTGAAAATATTGCACGGATGTACAATACTGCCCCCAGCAACTCTGTAGATCATTTCCAAGAATATGGAGTATTTGAAACATGAAAAAAAGAAAGAGGGTAGAAAAGGCACACAAAAACTTCCACATTTTCCCTGAATAAAATACATATGCAAAAAGACACAGTAATGAGATACATTAAAATGGATGGAAAAGTATGAGTGATATAGAGACAATTTTTTTTTTTTTGGTCAATTCTTGCCACTCTATAGCATGTGCTGCTTCAATTACAATTTTAAAGTATGGTGCTAAAATGCATGTTATTTCCTTATTTTTCTTGAAACCTGATTTTCTCAGGGAAGCCGCTCCCTTCCAGGGGCGTGAAGCCTCCTTCAGGATCAAGGGCTGAGGCAGACCCTGATTTTGACAGACAGGGTGGCACCCTGCAGTCAGCCGGCTGTCCTTGAGCAAACTGTCTTGTTTTAGCAAATTAAGTGTCATTTGAAAATCCGTCCTCCTACTTTGATTCTTTTGGGTCAGGAGTGCCAGCAGATCCTCGAAAATGCTACCAGCTCTACCACCTGTACAGGGTCCGTCAAAGGTAAACAGGCTCTGGTCTGAATGCCATTAAATGTCTGTTCTTTCCACAGCCCATTACAGCTGCTACGTGGCAGAGTTTAGGGAAATGCTTTCATTGTAAATTCACAAGATCCTCTAGCAGTTCCATGGATAGCACAGGGAAACCACTTTATAACATCAAAATATCTTTTTCTACAACAGGAATGATGACAGAGTTCTCTTCAGTTTACCACGAATTTCACTAATAAGTATTTAGCTCCTTTATTTTCTTCTTCTTCAAAAAAAAAGGGATCAATGAGATGAACCAGTGTGCAAAATTTCCAGGTAATTAGTGCAATTTCGTACCTGTTTTAGAAATTTACTCCCGAAAAGACCGTCCACCCAGCTGTGCATTTTCCCGTCCCACTAAGACCTCAGGTGTGCAACTTTACTTTGCCCTGGGCTATAGCAGGTTTTATGGGGACCATTTAGAATGGTCAAGGGCATAAAGGAAATATATGCGGAAAGGGTGATCTTTTATAACCACTATATTCAAGGCAGGATTTGGGCTGACCCTGAAATATACTTACTCAATGTAATTTATAGATACTGTGTGTTACTGAGTTTGAAAAAGATCAGATCAATAACCCGGGAGATAAGTGGTGATATAACCACCTTCACTCAGACTGCTGACAGGTGGACAGAATCGTGACAAGGTAGTGTCCTTCCTGCATTGCAGTGGGGTATCAAAAGGATATAAAAGGAAGCATCAATATTATTTTTCTTCCACCAATACCTCTCCTTTACTTTCATGACATCTCCCTCTGTAAAGATATAAAAGAAAAATTCCTTTAGAAGCTATCAGTTTGTTTTTGGCCAGGTGTTTTTTGTCACACTAAGCTTGGAAAAAATGCATTTATTAAACATGGGACCACGCCATGCTACATAAGCCACTTTATTTGATGAAGTCATTCTAGAAAGGTTTAAGTTGATAGCTAGATATGCTAATGCTTCTCTCGTTAGAAAGTCTTTCAAGATACCTTAATGTGCCGATTAAGTATTTTTAGATGGAAGCCTAAAGTGAGGATCCACACAGAATTGAAAATCATGTAAAGTCGACCACTTTTCATTTATGAATTCATTTAAATAATGGACTAGTGGAAGGAGAGAGTAATGACTCAATTTTGTGTGCTTTTTTTCTTTTCTTTTAAAAATAAGATGCTTACCTGCCATTCTGTGGAGCAAGATAAGGGGGTCTTTAACATAGAATTTTTTTTTATAAGGTCGGTAAATTAGGACAGATCATGCAGTTATATTCTGTCCTTGGTTTTGCAAATACCCAGGCTGTTGATTTGATACAGAGTAGTCGATAATGCACATCAGGTTCAGCCTCAAGACTTTCGGTCTCTGCTCTGACCTGGATGCCCGGCCTGGCGACCAGCAGCACAATCGTCCTGTGCCCCTCGCTGGACAGCCACGTCACCGCCTCTTCCCGATTCTGCACCTCGTCCCCATTTATCTAGAGAACAAGTGAAAGTGGCACATTAGTTTCCATTTCCACCATGCTGCACACAATAAATGGCAAATACCAGCTCATTTATGGTAAATGTATGGACGGTGGCGCTCACACAATGGGCTCATCTTCGGCTCCTCACTGGTAAGTGCCTTCACTCAATTACGCGGTTACCGGGAGAGCCACATGGACCCCTGAAGGATGGCGGACATCAGAGGAAGCAGTTATGTTCATAAATGTCCAACCTGCGCCCCGGCAACATACATCTAGCAACACAATTAACCAGCCCCTGACAGGTGACGTTCATCTTTCTCTGCTCAGAGTAATGGAAGTGTCACTCTGAGATAATAGTGCCGGGGAAGCGGGACTGGCAGGACCACGGCTGGAATCCGTCATCCTGCGCGCTCGCTGGGGCCAATTAGGGAGCTGCTGTCTTGTCGCTCAGCAGGCCAGGCTCCCGGCCGCTGCCCACGGCGTGTGCATTCAGTTTGCATTTGGGTGCGGGTCTGACTCAGTTGCCCCGAGCGCCCTGAGGACAGCTGTCAGCCCCGCGCTGATCAAAGGAAGGACCAGCTCCCGACTAAGGTCCTCACTGGGACTCCAGTTCTTTTCTGGATTTATTCATTTCCTAAAACAAAACTAATGAAGTATCTTACGGCTCTTCTCTTAAATGCCCTTAATTTTCTTTTCAATTAACACAGAGTGAGTTGGATTTTATATAAGAAAACTTAGTGAAATATATCAAGCTTGAGTAAACTTGCGATTAAACAGAAGACTCGAGCGTCAGTGGGAATGCATCTTTTTTTTTTTCCTTTTTCTTGTTCCACAGAGAAAGCAAAGTTTCAGACATGTGTTCGTTAAACTACAATTTCATGTTCGAATTTATTTGGCTTTTTAGTCAACACAACTTTTTTCTCTGGGTATTTTACATCTATTTTATTTTCTTGATTGCTCCAATCCCTGGAGACAATGAAATTGCTGATCTGTAACATAATGTCAATATTATGTGTAAAGAAATTTCAGTTGAAGAGGTCAATAATTTTATCTAAAATATATGGTATTTCAATAAAGTAGAAAAATATGGCTGCACTGGCTATTTTTTCAATGATTAATTTGATGTGTTTCACTAAGAATTTCTGCTTAGAAACACGAGGTCAGTGACTGAGGTTTTCTCCTCGCTGGGCCCTGGGATTCTGGCTGATACATGAAGACAGACATAATTACCAAAAGCAAGCCCAGGAATCTCTATTTGGATGACAGTGAATCACTCTTATTCCTCGACTCCATCAGATGTATGTATGTGGCACAAAGAAAGCAGACAATAATAAAGGGGGGAAGCCCACCACCGTATGTTGTATTTCCTTACTCTGATCAAATGAGTATCACCTTAGTTTTTCACCTGTTTATGGAGACAGGAAATGCAGCTTTTCCAAGTTCCAAGTGCACTTCCGTTTTTTTTTTCAACTCATGAAAAAAATTAATCAAATTAGAAAACAGAAGCTGTGATTCCAAAATGGGAACTAATGACCTAAAAGGATACATTGTGGTTTTTCATAAATATACATCTGAGGAGCTATTTCTGAACTGAACCCTAAGCCTTTTTTTCTTTCTCAAATAAAAATAAATTGGCTGTGGTGGTTGCCACTACAACTGCACCTCAGTTAAGTGTAGTTTGAAAATAATGACTTGGAAATGTTTGTGTTCTTTGAGTTTGGGGGCTTATGTTTATTTCATAGTAATTCTTAGGAGCTTATCTGCAACACTTCTATTTATCAATTATGGACCTTCTCATTCATCTTCCCTTCACTATAGGCACATTTGATCCTAAGGAGACTGCACTGGATAATCTCAGACATAATCTCCTTTCCTCGCCCTGGACAGGAGTCGCTCATGGTAATTACAGGGTATCCCAGAACCTCCTCCTCAGCCATATGGGAGCTATTTGTCCGTGGGTACAATTTTGCCACAGTTTTATTTGATATAATCTCATCATCACCCTTAAGACTCTTTGTGCAGATAGAATTGAATTCTAGGCTTTTTAAAGTGACGTGTACTTTGTTCATTAAGTGTGACATATTTGTCACTGAATATAAAGTAATCAGGCAGACAACTACTTTATCAATCCTGCTGCTCTTTCTTCAATGAACGAACTCCATTAAGCAACGCCTTATTCTCCAGCCAATACTTCATCTGAAAACTTTATCTGCCCATAGTATAGCCAAGAATAAGGAAGCGTCAAAACATACAGTATGCAACATGGAAACAGATTTACTTAATTTCTGTCCAGCTCTACCTGACCCTGAGCATACGAAAGTGACATTCCTTTCAGTATATTTAACTGGAGATGGTAACAAAGTGAACAACATATTTAAAAATTATTTTCAAATAAAAAAATGGTAACATATTTTTGAAGCTTTCATTATCTGGATGATACACTAAAATGGTCCTCTGTTTCTTACTGAGGCTACCCCATTCAGCTTTACTGCAGATTTTATTCCCCTATCCCCTCACTCTCTCCATGGAACAGTTTCTTTCCATTCATTTATTCATGTGTGGGTGAGAAAAGCATCAAAAATATGGTAATAAACAAGACTAAGTCTTGGTTTCCTATTCCCTTTGTTCCCCGATGTAGCCAATGAGAGACACGTCCCACTTTGTTTAACTACAGGTCACCACCCAGAGAGCTCACAGAAGTAGAAATGATATGTTCTTAGAGTTTGCTGAAAACCAGTAAGTTCGTGAATGACCACTCATTCATACTTTTCTTCTTTCCTAATTGGAGCCTTAGTAGAGAGAGGGTCTGAGGAGAAAGCAGCTCTGCGTCATCTAGCCAGAGAAGGGCAAGGGCGTGCAGGGCTGTCTCGGTGAGCGTCAGCCTGAAGAAAGGCGAGGGCAGTGGAGGACTGGGCAGGGCCACCCTGGCATGTGCCCAAGGCTGCATGGGTGCACCTCCACCATGCCAACGCCACACTGCACGGCCATCACCTGTGCACGGAGCTGACTTCTTAACCATACGATGAATGCCCCAAATGCTGGGTGGCATGTATTTTTGAAGCCCTAATTCCAGGCAGAGTGTTGTAGCCATTCATGTGAACTCAAAGAAACATTCTTCAGGGGGCACATCTACTAAGGAGAATAGGAATTACAGATCTGGCGCAATGACCACAACTTCCTTAGAATGTTTGGACGGTTTGTAACTTTCTGAATTTGAGCTCTCCTCCCTGTTTCGTAGTTATGATCTGCTGTGAAATTCAACCCTGAAGCACCTCTGTCCTTATTTTGGGTTTATTTGGACACAGGAGTTGGGGAGCTACATGTCTTTCTGCAGCCATTCTTTGTGGGAAGGGAAGCAGGAAGGACAGAGCGGCTCAGGCAGGTTTAGGACACAAACTCGGGCTTTGCTGCTATAATCGGCTGCTCTTTCCAGCTCCATATCCCCCGGGGATCTGCTTGCCATCTCATTAAACTAAAATTTAATCAGTTTCCATGTTATCACATTTCCATGTGGAGAAGGAAACATATTTCTCCCACCTGTTTGCAGCAACTCACTTGTAAATAATCAAAGCTTCTTCAGACATCTCGACTTGCATAGAATAATGGAACAGGGATCTATGTTGACCTAATTTATTCTGGAAATGCAGCAATAATGCTGCTGCTAGTAATAACAGCCATTAATGTTTACTACTTATCATGCACTGGGCTAAGAATACCATATACAATCACATTAACCTTTGCAAATATGTGATAGTTCTTGCTTATAAACATTTAAGCAAAATATGTTTTTATTTTGCTTATATATAGTTAAACATATAAAAAGGATGTTTTATCACTATCATTTTATAAGATGAGGTAACAGGCTTACAGTGAGAGGTTAAGTAATGTGCCCAAGTAAGTGGTCCAGAGATTATGTCTTAATCAGTAATTATTAGCTAATAATTCTTAGTAAATGGCACCATCCTTACTTCGTATTATAAAAAGGCTTAAGTGATAGCTTTTTGTTTTGTACATATCACTGTCTGGAAAAGACAAATTCTTTTCTCTAACATTTTACAGGAAATAAAACTGCTGGGCGGATAGTAGGAAATGAAAGGAAATAACCACACCACATACTTGCAAGATACGATCCCCTTCTCGAATTCGACCGTCTCGGGCGGCAATGCTGTTTGGATCTATCTGCGAGGGAGAAGACGCCCATCTTCAGCGGGATGTGCAATACTCCCCCAGGAGCTTACAAATACGGCTTTAAATATATTGTCAAAAACTTGGTTCAAAGTTCTCTATTGATTTACAGAGCACATGTTCATTTTTCTCTGTCAAAAATCACTGATTCTGAAAATGTAAATGGACTGTGTTGGAATGAATAATAATGAAATTGAAAACTAGAACAGAATTGGGAGACCATTTTCTTTCACTCCCTCCTTCCCTTTTTTCCTTTCATCCTTTCTTTTTCTATTTTTTTTTATGCTAGTAATAACAGCCATTAATGTTTACTACTTATCATGCACTGGGCTAAGAATACCATATACAATCACATTAACCTTTGCAAATATGTGATAGTTCTTGCTTATAAACATTTAAGCAAAATATGTTTTTATTTTGCTTATATATAGTTAAACATATAAAAAGGATGTTTTATCACTATCATTTTATAAGATGAGGTAACAGGCTTACAGTGAGAGGTTAAGTAATGTGCCCAAGTAAGTGGTCCAGAGATTATGTCTTAATCAGTAATTATTAGCTAATAATTCTTAGTAAATGGCACCATCCTTACTTCGTATTATAAAAAGGCTTAAGTGATAGCTTTTTGTTTTGTACATATCACTGTCTGGAAAAGACAAATTCTTTTCTCTAACATTTTACAGGAAATAAAACTGCTGGGCGGATAGTAGGAAATGAAAGGAAATAACCACACCACATACTTGCAAGATACGATCCCCTTCTCGAATTCGACCGTCTCGGGCGGCAATGCTGTTTGGATCTATCTGCGAGGGAGAAGACGCCCATCTTCAGCGGGATGTGCAATACTCCCCCAGGAGCTTACAAATACGGCTTTAAATATATTGTCAAAAACTTGGTTCAAAGTTCTCTATTGATTTACAGAGCACATGTTCATTTTTCTCTGTCAAAAATCACTGATTCTGAAAATGTAAATGGACTGTGTTGGAATGAATAATAATGAAATTGAAAACTAGAACAGAATTGGGAGACCATTTTCTTTCACTCCCTCCTTCCCTTTTTTCCTTTCATCCTTTCTTTTTCTATTTTTTTTTTAAACCTCTAGTCATCCCATTTCTGTATTCCAATGTCAGACATTGTCTCCAGCCCACATGATCTTTAGCTGATGTTAATACGAGGATTCTCTGGACCTAGAAAATTTACTTTCTACAAGGATGATTTTTAAATCCTTCTTTAGCTGACTTAGAAAAGCTGATCATACTCTAAGTCCATACTTGGTACAGGAATTTCTGTCTCATAAGCACATTAATTTATAAAGAGATTTATAATCATGTTGCTCAAAAAGTGAAAAAAAATCCAAACCCTGTAGATTATTACTAGGCAGTATTTTACATATAGGGTGCAGTGTAGTAACTATAAATCATTTTAGAATAAATAGATATTTAAGGCACTAGTAAGAGTTATCAACATTTTAATGGCCCAAACTTGAGTGATGACTTACAGTTCACTGGGGGTGATTCCATCAGTCATATGTCACATGATGGCTTCAAACCATTAATTTGAGCTTATTCCATCAAAGCTTTTTTTCAAGCAAAGTATTTCAGGTCTAGCATGAGGCTACTCTGTCCTATCCCAGTGTTACACATTACTTTCTTATAGGTGGTGCCACCTACTAAATGAGTTTGAAGTGATTGGTCAAGAACAAAAGACAGTATAATTGCATGTACGAGGGATGAGGAAACCTGCCTTCCAAGGACATATGTTCATTTCCTGTGGTTTCTTCACTCTCCTTGAAAAGGAAAGTTCCAAAGCTGACAGATTTAAATAGCAGACAGAGACTTAATAGGAGGAAGTCCAGAATGATTATTCAACTGGAGAGTATATACAATCCATTCACAATCTAAAACTTTGTCTACAGAAATGTAAGCACGCTGAGATTAAACCTCTACCTTTCTACCTGTGTACATATTACAACAGCTGGTTCTGCAGGTATCTGCTTATACATCCTCACCATAATCACAGGGGTTATCTTAGCTGCACACTTAAAAGACATACATGAGTGAAGTAGTAACTGGAGATTTTCCCATTGCGAGGACCAGTCATTGGTAAAGTGATAAAGAGTAACATTTGCATTTTTAGAGCTGTGTAGCTTCCTAAGTGCGTTAATTCCATTATCTTTTCTATATTCTAAACAGCTCCATAAAAGCAAGAAGATAGCTCTGTTGAGGACACTGAAGCTCAGTGGGTTAGGGTATGATTTGAGGATCAAGGCCAAGGACACATAGAAGAGCAATTAGTACCTAGCTTGCCTGACCTCTGTATACATACACACACAACTGTATGTTTTTACACAGAAACATATATGCATACACGGTTTCATGCATGTATATGTGTGTACACATATACATATGGAGGAGTTGAACAATAAATGTACATCTATATACATATATGTGCATGTATACATACAATTTTAATCATATAAATACATAATTTTTAAAAATTACACTTTTCTGTTTCTCCCAAATTGATTCTTTTGGGAATTAAAAAAATCACCTACAATAATAAATATTGCCTCAACATTTTTTCAAAGTAATTCAATCTAAGTGCTTCACATTTAAGGACCTCACTTTTTTGAAAGTGATAATGAGGCTGAATAAAACAAACAGGTGTTCTCTTTGGATATGCCAATCTGTCCATCTCTCCAGCAAAGTAAAATATATGATTATTGTGAATATTAGATTTAAGGCAATCAGTCAATGCTATTGCTAACAGAACTGATAAAAGAAATGGGAGGACAGATGTTTACTGCCGAACAACTTTGCTTGACTACCTACATCCTTATGGGAACTTGCTCAAATTTAGACACCGTTACCATTTCTGCAGTCTTTCCTTACTGGGATTCTGTGGCGAAAGCCTTCACATTAACCAGGCTGATGATAATTACACGACTTGGGCAAAATAATTTCCTTTCATAGTTGGAAGTGACAGGTATTGGGAACTGGCCAGTTCTTCCCATTCAAGCCTCCCAAGGACCTCCGACCTGTGAGGCACGTGCTCCCTCGCTCCCCCTCCCCCACCCTGCCCTTCACGGTATTTCTCACCTCGCTGACATAAATGCCAGTATCTTCTTCATCATCCGTTCGGTAACAGACTGTCAGGCCCAGCTTCTCTTGACTGTTGACACGACACAACTCAACCTCCTAAGAGACAAGCACACGCAGGACATTCATCTCCGGGAGAGGCCTCAGCAGAGCGGAGAACTTGCTGACACTCTTTGGATCATCCTGGGAAGTTTTCATAATTACTGCCCAACGTTTGAAGTGAACTTAGGTTACCCCAATCCTCCAAATTTACCTTCTTCATGGACTTCTGTATATTCATGTCAATGTTTTAAATGCTCATTGTTCAGTTGGAGCTGTGCAGATTTTTTTTGCATCGAATCATGGACTTAAAACAACTTAAAAAGCACACAATGAAATAGAAATAAAATATGCATAAAACAAGATGCATCCAATACAATATTTGAGAAGTCCAAAGTAGGTAGCAAAATGTTCATAAAAATATTGAGAGTTACTGTGATTTTTTGTGTATGTCAACAAAACAGAGTTCAAGAAATATGACAACACTGGACTCGGCATAGATTCTTCTTTTACGTTCTATACAGTATATAATAAGCGGGTGTTTTGTGCAGCTCAGGCCAAGGTTTTCTATTATTTTGTGGAAGCTCTCACCCGCGGAATGAAATGGGTTCGTCCAGGCTGAAGGGAGAGGCATTAGTAGTCATGTGAGCAGAGGTAGTGACTCAAAGTGTAGCAGTAAATGAAGAAGGAAACACATTAACTGAAACACATGGCTGAGGGGCTTGAAATGTCAGTCCTTAGGAAATGTATATTGAACCTATTTCCTGATTCATGTTCAGTGAAATAATAATGAATTTCAGTGTATTTCATTCTATATAATGAAATAGACTTGTACTGCTCTTCAGAAGCAGATGACTTTAGGAGAAATTGCGTGATTCCCAGCACTACAACGCAAACTGGTGCCCTCATCAGGAGAACTTGTTCCTACTGATGGAGAAGAGACAGCCCCTTAGGAGATCATCGGATGAGGTAGAACAAGGTAAATTTAAATTGCACGTGAAGCCCGGGTTAGGTTTCCGGGGCTGCGGAGGTGGCCAGCCCGCCTGTCCTGCTGGCTCGTTCTCCAGTGCCTGGAACGGGGGAGCCATGTGGGCACTCAGGCAACGCTGGCTGAAGGGTGACTGCTTCTATTTCAAAATCTTTCCTAGTGTTTGTAACATTTTGTGAAACAATAATTAAGGAGTCTTTCCTCTTCAAGTGAAGGTAATTTTGTGTGTATGTGAATGAAAATTATGAAGTTTGACAATAAAGTATCCATTTAACTCTGGGATCTGAAACAGTTACTAGGATAAAATTAAGAAACTCACTTAACCTCACACAGAAGGTACTTTTCAGCACCCTCTGCTACCTTGGAAGAACTATCTCCCCTTCCCATTTTGTATTTCTGTGAAGGCCTTGTCAGGGGAAAATAACCATTTATCTTAATGACATATTATAAACCATAGGTAAATCCTTGGGGAGGATGGGCTATCGTAAGCTCCAGTGACCAACAATTTCATGGCTAACAACAAATAAAAACAAAATTGAAATCCTTTATCCTGAGACATGTACTGCAAATGAATGAAATACATGAAATTTTTAAGGACTTTCTAATTGGACAAAAACACTCTGAATTCCATGACAGTGGTTAAAAAGGCATGACGTATGCTAACTAGTAAGGAAAAAAAGATTTTAAAAAAATCCTTTCACCTACAGGAAGAAAAGGAAGCAGTGATGTGCTTTGGCACAGGAAGTAAAAAGTATACACCAAGCAGGGGTTATTTCCAGAACTGGCGATAGTGAACGCCTCCGGAGGGAAAGAGGGCTTGACTGAAACTGTAACATCGGGAAGGAATTACAGCGACCAAAGAGCTTCAATTACCCCACGAAGTACACAGTTAAGGAGTAAAGAAGCTTATGGTTCCTAAGAGGCCAACAAGGAAACCTAAACACTCTATAAAGAGCTGAGATTGGGGCCTTTAAATTAAAGCAATTGATGTACTGTAGTCAAAGCTGAAATCCATTGACTTTCAATGTCCTTCCAATTGCAGGGGAGACGCTCCCTGTGCTGTGGGGAGACATTTCCAGAAGGCGCATTCCTTCTGTGAGTGTTTCCTCTGCATTCTCAATGGTGTACTGTGGCTTTGCTGTTTGTTTAGAAAATGCATATTAAAATATTTTGCAATCAATTGGAACTAGTCTATTAAAACAGAAGGGACAGAATCCACTCATGTAACTTTAGCGCCACAGATCAAAGCCTCAACCCAAGAATGGTAGGGAAGAGGCGACGAAGATCCTGAGGTCAGAATGACTTTTCAGTATCGTCATCATCTCGGACCCAAGCAGAACTGTGAAACAGGTGCCCATGTCACACGTGACCCCCTCGTGTTCAATACCCCCTTTTTACGACAGTCAGCCTCCTCCTGTTCCCTCTGAGCTGCCTGGAGTCCCAGGGTCGACCTCTCTGGGTAGCCACTGCTATTTTGGGTTCACCATCTTACTTATCTCCTGGCAAAACCGGGCATTTGTTGTCTTCCCTTCTCTCATGAGTAGCTCTTGCAATACAAAGAAAATAGGTCAATAAATATTTCTTCAAGAGATCATAATTAATTATTATTTAAAATGTGGCCCATTCAGGGTTTGGGTTGCGCCAACAAAGACTAAAAGTACAAAGCCTTAATTCAAAGGCCTGCATCTGTGGTAGGACCTGGGCTCTGAAGGAGACACAAGGGAGATACCCTGGGCCCCACACCAGGCCACCACGTCACACGGGTGCCCGCTGCAGCTGGACCTGCGATTCCTCCCTTGGCCAAGCATGTTTCAAACGCCATGCATTTCACCCTGCATGCATTTTGGAATCAAAGTTCCTTTAATTCTGTGACAAAATAACTTGTAAGCTGCTACCTGTCGAGCGTTTTGTGTGTCTGAGGCAAAGGTGGTTTTGCAAAGCCTGTTTATCTGAAAGGTGCTCTCTAAGCACAGGCTTAACTTAATATTCCCTTCACAGGGCACCCGAGCGTCTGACTTCTGGAGAAACAACCTCCTGGTAATAGAAAATGTTTTCCCTAACAACTTTCATACCGTTCGCTCTGTCACGAGGAAGCTGTGTGATGAAGAACATAAAAGTGAAATGCTACCTCTGTACATTTTCTTCACAGAGACAATTCACAGGTGTATACACATCAAAGCCAAGCGCACAAGGATGGCATCACTAACCATCCTTAAGTCATTTGCGACTGGAGTGGAAGAATCTCTTCATATGTCTAGTAAAACTGCATTAATTTAGGCTTAAATGTGCTTTAAGATGCTATGTTCTGGGAACATACACATATATATTTAAAGCCCTCAAAAAAAACAGATCACATGCTCTAAGCCTGTGAGAAACTGATTACATTGAGATTGAGGGTGGGGAGGATGAGTAACATTAGCAAACATGCTTCTAATCACAGAAAGAGTAGGATTTTTACATGAACTGGTTGCACTACAGTGCTGTGAAATTTTTACATGATTGGGTCTAAAGAATGACAAGGAACTTAAAAAGAAAAAAAAAAACCCACACTTTAGTTTTCTAGGTAGGACCCTCTTGCTGGAGGAAGAACTAAGGCTTGTAGCTTTGTGCCAGGGCTTTTTAGGCAAGTTGCTTCCAAACTACAGAGCTCTCAAGTCCACACCATGAGCAGGAAAATTCACAGCAGTCGGCAGAAAGCAAGTCTGAAGAACTTGGGCTACACAGGACGGTCACTGACATCAACTACAATCACGGGGAGAGGGGTCTATGGGACCCACATCTTTCTTTTTCTTTTCTTTGTTCCCCTGGTTTTATTTATCAGACAACACAGGCACGACCACAGAAACCTACTAGTAATCAGGATTCTCCAACATTTTGTGGTATTGACTATAAACCCGTGGACTCTCCACTTAGTTGTTCCAGCAAAACATTTATTTCAAAAAAGCAAATTAAGTGGAAATATAAAAACTTGAACTCTCACAGCTAAGGGCAGCCTAGGTGCTCCACTGTGAAATTATTACTTCAATATCATTATCTCCTGGACAGTGGAAACGCAAATTCCTCTATCAGCACCAGGCTCACATACCCCAGCCCCAAACATCCTGAACAAGTTGCTCCAACTAGTAACTAAATCATGTTTCTGTAAACATGATTTTATTAGAATAAAAGCAAAAACATAACACTCCTGCCTTTTCATGAACATCCTTAACCTCAACCCCTTACTCTGCTTTTTCTAATTGAATGATATTGTTGTTAAAATATGTGTGGCTTTTATCTCCCAACTTATTATTCCTAGAGACTGTCTGGATTCTTTGGGAAATAAAGCAGGCACATTTTCCTAGACCCAGGTCATCTGCTTCTCACTGTGTGCTGTGAACCACCTCTGGAAGTCATAAAGTGCCCACTTTGGATGTATTTTATGCCTTAACAAAGAATAATAATTTTGTTTATACTGTTGAAATTTGGCAAAGGGGCGGATTCATAATGTCAGTAATCTGTAGTCGATGGCATGAGTTCTGGACCAGGAATAGAAATGGGAAGCTTAAGATCAAGGTGCACTAGAAGCCACATGCCAGGGCTGTGTTAGGTCTGCTGTGCCAGCTGGGCAGTCAGGCCCACTCCATGGAAATGTTCTTCCAGGGGCTTTCGCCCAATCCCGCTCTGTCTCCAACAAAGAACAAAGACACGCGAGGAAGCCTGGGAACGACTCCTGTTTACACCAGTTATGGATATTTTCCCTTATGTTTTGCCTGTATTTTTGAGAAAACTGCAGTGGCTCTTGGCTATTAGGATCATGTAGTTTACCTTTGTAAAGCTCCAGAGAGCTAAGGTTTTTCACAGCTGATTCTTGAGTTTTGGGCAAACATTAAAATGATGATTTTTTAGCTTACTAATGGTATTGTTAAATGTCTACAGTCATTTGTGGCTTGGATTTCCTGATTTATATGTTATTTCTTGGGGGATCTCCATAAAGACAGTTCAATGTGCCAAAAGCAATGTGCAGAAAAGACTATTCATGAAATATTATTGCCACAGTTGCTTTACTTTTAAAATATCCATTTTAAGCACTCCA